CAGAGCAACTCCACGGCTGTGTTTAGATACCGCGGGATCTACACCGGCTACTTCGACATTGAAGTCTGATCCTTGGAGATGCACATAAGCCATCCACATGGGCAACCTTCGCAGCACGTTCATTTCTCTCTGCTTGAGTCCGTTACGCCTGCGGCCCATGTTTTTCTGCATCTGTGTGACGATCTGGCGCAGTCCTTCACTGATTTCAGGCCGGACTAAATAGAGAGAGAATGTTTGCGCAGTGCCCCATACTTCCACCACTGGGTCCGGAGCAGCGCTCATTTGTACCTTCACTTCAAGATAGTCGGTCAACAGCAAGTCATGTTTCTCGACAGCGGCTGTTTGATAATACAACTGCTGTGCATTCATGCGGAAAGTTGAGCTGAGCGCATAGTGCAAGTCACCGCCTGCGGCATGGGATGACTCCATGTCCAAAGATATGGAAGATGACGCTGAGATGAGAAGGTCGAACTCGTCAGTGTCGCGCTTACTGACGTCCATCGGTGGAAGAGTGACCCGAATGACGGGCTCGTGAATCGAAATTTTGATGTTCGCTTTTGGTAGAAGACGACGGAACAAGAAGGGCTTGCGACTCCTCACTTTTTGCGGCTTTCGACGTGACTCGTAGTTGTGGAAAATAGCCACAAGGAGCGGGAGATGTTTAGGGTCAAGGTCCAGCGATGGGGACGTGACGACTAGATTAGCAAATAAAATATTGGTATTGCGCTCTGCGCTATCCTTGTCATTGGAGAAATGGATGGTTTTAGAAGGTAGAGTTGTGTTCAGCGTAGTCGTCGCCATGGGAACGTAGAGAAGACGATCACACTGACCGTCAGTATTGTCGATGCCGACGGATATGGATATGGCAGCAAGAAGAGCTTGATGTGCAATGTCATTGGGAGAAAAGTACATGCGATGTGCAGGGCTGCGAGGGTCTAAGCGAAGCAGGTCCATGCCAACTTCTTTCATGGACAGGTTGAGATAGACAGGAGGCTCTGATTTTTGGCCAGTCTCAATCTGTTTTGTAAGGCCGAGGAAGCCAACGGCGAACTGAAACTCGTGTATGCCGCGAAGAATGGAGCTGGCAAACTCACGAGAGTCAGAAACGGTACGGGCCAGCGTTTCTTCGTGGTTGCCAGGGCTATCGCTCTCTTCGGCAACATGCATGAGGGCAGTGTCTGTGGGACTAACACGGGACGGCTTCTGGGCGGTAGTGGCGCGACACTTTTGGGCTCTGTCCACGCACAGCTTGATATCGTCGTACGGGATGTTGAGACGGCCGAGTTTGAGAGCGATGGAGGCATCACGCAGACCTTCAAGCTCCTTCTTAAGGAAGCCATGGATGTTCAGGGTGAAGCCATCGAGCAACTCTGTTGATTCTCTGCCCTCGGGCGTAAAGAGTATACTGCGAGCAGTCAAGAGCCACTCAGCAGGTCTTTGTTCTCGGTCGGGCTTGGCTTTATGGTGGTTGAAGAGCCGATTGCGGTCGACAGTCTTGCGCCTTGTGTCGACAGCCAAGTGCAAGCCCCCAACGTGTACCGATCCTACGTCGACAATGACAAGAGAGGACGCATTGGCTACCAAATCGACCTGGCACAGCCAATGAATGTTACGATGCAGACGCTTGATCTTCTCCTTGGCATCCATCAACCGCTTCCACGTCTGGCTTCTTGGTGTCTCGTCGTCGGTCGTATCGCTAGGGGTGGCTTCGTCGGAGGGGGGGTGGCCATTCTTGCCCGTATTCGTAGTCCCGTTGGTCCACTGTGTCCAACCCGCCCTCTTCCGTGGCCTGTCACCAAGCGCTTTCAGGTCAACAGTCACTTTGAGCTCATCCAAGACAATGCTGGCAATGGTTGGCTGGGCAAAGGTGGGCCGGTGGAGGCTAAAGCCGAGGCCACGAATCTCGATGCGCAGACCATCTTTGGGGGTAAAAGCGATGCGTCGCAAGCCTCTGAGGCCAAGCCGTTGGATAGAGACGCCTGTGGCGATGCGTATAAAGGCGAAAAGAACAAAGGAGAGGAGGTATATCAGGAGCAGGAGCCCCGCGAGGAACTGAAGAGTGGGTAGGGCCATTGTGGTTCTTCAGCCGGGGGCCATTGACCGGCTCGAGTGTTATTGGGATGTTTGGTCGCGAGTACACGCCATGTGCTGAGGGTTCAGGAGCCTCGTATGGGCAAACATAATCGAGGGGAGCGCAGGGCTACGAGAGGGATGGCATCGAGGGCGTCGTGGGCGAGTGTGAAAGTGCGCGGCGGCAGTGGATTCGGGACGGGTGGGCTAGCTCGCGGGAGCGGATGGAACGATGGCGTGATGGAACGGACGATCCGGACGTAGACAGAGGAGGCGGCGATTTTGGGGCTGCCAGTCGCAGGAAGACCTTGTCCAAAGTGGTCGCAGGGCTGTAGAATACCTCTGTGGTATTCTGCTGCGATGCACGTCAGAATCCAGAATGCCAGGTTCCCACGCCTCCCACGTCTCCCACTCCCTGTCCCCTGTCTGCCAAGCCTGACCCGCATGCCTTCTGGAAGGAGTCCTGTCCCCACCTGCCGCTAACCTAATCTCGCGCCCCTCGACCATCCTCGATTTACTCTCGGCGCCGACAATACGTATGGGTAATTATTCAAGAGACAATGCTGCGTCGGGGCACGAAGCCCTTTGCCTCCTATCTCGACTGGTCTTTTCGCTGTCATAGTGGAAAGACCGGGAAGGCAATTGAACACAGTGATCAGCAGGAACAAGAAAGGTGCGTATTTCGTAGCACACTAATTTGGAAGCGCAGATCTATTAGTACGCAAAGCAACACTAAAGAAGTAATTCCGTCGATACCGCGAGTACTGCATGGCTTTTCGTCGGCTAGGTATCAAAAGGAAACAATATATTGTGCATGTACAAGTCGACCTGTCATCCTGTAGTGATCGTGTTTGGTGGAGTATGATCGCGTGACCGTTGCCAAGGCGCTATACCGAAACAAGGTACCGACCATTCTTACATACATAATTGACTGTCATAACAAATCCCCTTTTTCTTTCAAATGACATGCTGACAGTATGCACATTGACGTAATTAGGACGATGGCTAGCTCGTGTCTTCCATGAAATGACCTTTACTCAAGAAAATCGTCACAGATTCAAATGTTCTTTCATCCAAGCATTTCATTACAACGTGTATGATGTATGCTGTCTCAGCATGCACTCAAGACATACCATACCATCTTGAAATGTAAAAAATCCTGGGGAAAAAGTCAATTGCAATAAGGAGAACAGGTCCATAGATTTTCTAATATCTCTGGCCTTATAATACTTTACGATTTCAACTAGTAATAAACTGCGGGATGTCTCTCATCTTAAATAAATCTGGATTTATGGTCAATTGAACCAGTAGCAGAACAATCCATATAGCTCAATAGATACTTCCATTAAAACAATAGAGATGAATGCATTGCGCAAATCTATCTGGAACATGCGTTACGATAGCACAATATCACAACAAGTTCTACAGCCTCCCTGAACATAGCCGCATCCGTGCTCTTCTTACAAACCCGACACAATTTTCTTATCAAAAACCTCAAACCCACAATTTCTAGACAGTAACCGCCTTCATCATCTTCCAACCCATGCCAGAAATATCCTTTCCGGGCCCCATCGCACGTCCGCTCCATCCCGCTGGCCTGGATCCCGAAACCCTGGGAATACAAGCCGTTTGCATTCCAAATGCCAGGGTAGACTCTTATCGCTCCCCATCTATCCCTGTAAAGACCCCACTCCCCTGCTTCCCAGACGTCAGCAAATATCACCTACCCGCTCCGTGGATGTCAGCAATTCTCACTTTCCCGCTGCTTGCGTGCAGTCGGTAATTACATATGTACTGGGCAAAGATTAAGTGTTACATGCAGCAACAAGGCCACATTGCGGCACCTCAATCGGATACCAGGGATCAAGCGTGCAAAGGAAGGAAGTATTCGACATGCCACTACCAAGAGAGAACCGCTACAAAAGATCAAAATTAGGAGCCAAAGACTCTCCCATAACTTCTGAACAACGCACAAACAACACAATCTGACTCCCCGACAACCATACCATCGTCCGACGCGTCAAATCTCGCACCTCCAACCTCCAAGTCTACAACTCCCTTCTCAGCCCACGAATCCGGCTTCCAAAACCAACAATCCTTATTTCGTAATCACATTGCCTGGAATATTCAGAGTCTGACAGGAAATTCCTATGTCCGGCGGAATCCGAGTCATAAATTCGGGGGAGCTGGCTGCGGTGATGTGACAACTCAAGAGGCCATAAAGCGTACAAAGTAAATCACAGCCCCACCCCCAAAGACACTTCGCATAAGCCAGCCCATAGGTATCAAATAGCCAGTACCAGTATTTCACAAAACCCCCTTCTCAGTACGGCCCCAATCCCTCGTTCATCCACTGTGCTATTCTTTTTCGGTACGCCAGAAATCCAACACTAAGGAATCAATTCCATAACATCATTCTTTCATGTTCCCTAACCTACCGATTACTTCTTCTGCGTCTATGGATTCAGAATACAACTACGTATATTCTACGCTTAACTCCCAATTTCAGAAGTCGAATAGATATGTAGGACCTTCGGTTTTAGGAAAGAAGCCTGCGTCGGACCGCAGTACTCCCGAGATAGGACCGAGCCCGCTTCGTGCTGTGTAGTAACTTGCTAGCAATCATGGCCGAGGTAGGATCGTAGCGGGGTTGAAAGTCATGTTGGAGTTTGCTTTTCTGGATGATGAATTGTAATGGTATTGAGATAGCGTTGTGCTGGAATAATATGTGTGGGTTTGCAGGTGGGTAACCGGTATGTGGCTCTAGATGAGAATGGCGATACAGTCTGATCTCGTCGTTCTGAAAGATAGTAGAAAAACCTCGTTGTAATCTGGAGGAGGGCATTCTCGATAACAAGTGTGTAATCATTCCACCTACAAAAAACGTAAACGACAGTATCTTCTGAACCTTGCAACTAAGCCACCCGTTGACAAGCGGGAAATTTCACCTGCCCAACCGCCCCAACCGCGTCCGATGGAACTTGTTCGCCCAGCATAATATGGTGGCAATGAAGCGTATGGTAGTAGTCATTCAGGTGACTATCAATGTGTTTCTGGATCGTAAACGCGCGGTGCATCTGGCGCCACATGTACATGCAGTGTGTACGATGGTACTCTTGTGTAACAAACAAGTCAAGCTCTCCTTGCAACGCAACGGCTCTGGAAACGGGTGATGTACCGTTGGACTCACGGTAGAAGACCCAGTCTTTCTCTGCGAGGAATTCTTCCATGATCTGTACATCGTAGCATGCTGGTAGTTGCCATGCGAAGCTGAGAATGTCGAATTTGCATCCAAGGCTCTTTGCTTCGGCTGGTGTAGAGCCGCAGTTTGGCCAGCTCCCAGTGTGTGTTGGAGATGGGTTTCCGCCAGGTGCAGAGGCGTCTTCGTACGGCGAAGATTCGTCTTTGTATGGCAAGGAGGTATCTTTGTAAGGCGACTCGTTCCCCGTCATAGTTGCGTGTAACATATGGGAGTGGGATGCATTCTTCAGCTGCAGAAGGATGGTAATGAGCAACGAGGTTGTGATCATCCAGCCGACTACTCCAAAGATTGTTTTGATATTTCGTGTCCAGAAAGCAGATCGTTGGCGGTGGTCTTGGGGATGCTCTTCGCCCTCTCTACAGGAATCATTTTCTGTAGACGACATGCGTCTGTAATCGTAGTCTTTAACTTCAGGCATGCTTTGGTGGTGAAGTTAGCCTTCAAGGAAGGCTACGTAGAGCAGTATTTCTGGATACATACGTCGTGTGGTGGCGTTGGATAAGAGAGAATCAGGTTGCTTGATGGATATAAAGCGTAGCGAGCTCCCAGCGAATCTAGTTTGTGGGGTTGGCATGCCTAAACCCTAACTGCGTCGTAAACATCATGTCATGGCCTTGACTACTATGATTGGTGAGATCACGTCTGCGGTTTACATAAACCAAGGAATTTAACAAGGCATTGATCCGATGCGATCCTACTTCGGACGTTGATTTCAATCTAGGGCGCCTCAAATCAGACAGACACCAATCACGAGGGCTGTAGTGGCAGCCCAAAGTTTTGTGTGTGGGCCACTAGCAAGGGAATAACACTGGCCGGGATCGAGGTTAAGAGCTATACAATTTGTATATAGTATAGCTTCCGCTAAAATTATTAGGAATAGCCTAGTACTTTCTTCTAATAAATTAGATCTAGAGTTATCTGAATAAGCGCCTGATTATCATCTCAGCGTTGCTATAACACAAAGCTATTGCCTTGTAGCACAGTGTGTTATCAACTAGGTCTACTATGCAGACTTGGGAACAATCGAATCCAATTAAGAACGACTAATCTGAGAAGCTGTTGACCGATGTAGTTTTGCATGGTTTGGTCATTCCCAAATCTGTTACCGAGACACCTCTCTGGAGTATTGTGCAGAGCTGATTTTACCATGTCTGTGCGGGTATACACGGTAGGTGAGTCGTAAAGACTTTAAGAAACAGCTTCTAGGAGCTGATTTTACAATGTTTGTGCGGGCGTACACAACCATGTAAGACTCTCTACATTACATCTCTTAGCGGGAATAGTCCAAATGAGGTTAGCCGGTGCTAGAAAAGAACGCATTCATTAATATCCAATGTCTTGGTATATTAGTATGGAAAATATGAATATTTCTAAGTATGGTAGGAATGATCATTATCAAACGTCCACAGCATCTCCGTCTTTGCTACCTTAACATTACTCAACTATATCTTTCCAGCAACACAATGCAGTTCTTCCAGTATGTTTTCAGTGTAGCTTTGCTTCTACCACTAGGAGCTCTAGGTGCACCTCAAGGATCAGGAGTCTTAGTAAGTCCCACTCATACCTAAGAAATACTAAACTGTCATCACTGATGACTTTATTTCACTTATGTTTCGGTCAATGTCAATGCAGGGCTGGAGAAATATGTTTTCGAGACTTTACTGCTCCTCGAGAAGGCTTTCGATGCTCACAAAGCTGTGCACCCGCCTCCGTGTTCCCTCTATAGGTTGACTAGAAAGAACAACAGTCGTTGTATAGAGTTCTCTTTAAACAATGAGTTTAAGCTCGGCCGGCTGGGGATGAGAGTATAAAAGGTTTTCAAGAGTAGCACAACATCATCATTACTTATCTTGAATTGGCTGTTGTGACGGGCTGAATGCCCTTTGAATAGCTCGTCGGTGAAATCTCGGCCCATTCATGGAATTCAGGTCGAAGCGGAAATAACCACTATCAGCTCTACTCGTAGAAAAAAAATATTAGAAACAGGAATCCAAAGCTCTTTCAACATCGCTAAGATGGAGATTTCTCGTGTTTGTTGACCTTGCGGTTAGTATTCCAGTCACAACAGTGAATGAGGACAAAAACACTCAAGGCGCGTCAAATCAGTGGTTGTAAAAGTAAGTCTTCTACGCGCTCAATCCCTCATGCTCCCCCGTCAATACACATGTCGTACTTGGAAAGCTCTCCTGCGCAACCTTCGTCAGATGTCAACAAGCTACGCCAACATCGTGGCACCAAGACCACTCAATATTAACAAGCCCTTCTCTGGTTAGTAGCTTGCCCACGAACGGTGTCAAGTAAACCCTTATCAGGAGCTCCACCATACCCTCAACTTCCCTCACTCTCAAAATTCTCCCCCCCAAAAAAAGGGGGGAAGGGTATTGCGAAGAACCGCCGATACGTCAAGTTCGTACGCGTAATCTTGCACCGGCACTACTTGAACGAGCTCAATACGCAGAAGCTATCTATATTTTTTGCCGCAAAACGTAGAGCGTACAATCTTATTAGGAACGCCACGGTTTACATCAAAAACGAAAGATTGGTCCAAAGGTTCATATATTGACAATTATCAAGGTCTCTCCATGTTTATAGCATGCACACACAAGATCTTAGGGATGAAAATTATCTACAAACATGACTCTTGCTTCATCCGCATTAACAAACAGTCGTTAGCATCTCCCGCCCCTTCCCTCCCAAAAATCCAACATAGTACAAGAGAAGAAGAAAAAAAGCGAAAACTTTCACACCTCCCTTCTAGTATGCATTTATAGAGGGGGAGCATTAGGATCCATCATGCACTGGTCCACACGCATAAGCTGCTTTCCAGTCTTCTTGGCAATCTGGATGAACTCGCGCAGGTAGCTGACAGTGCTTGGGTAAAGGTAGTGAAGGACAACCAAGTTACCACCCTTGTTGACGTCACGCTGGAAGGCAACCTTCTGCTGCTCGGGGGTGTCGGTCTCGGCCCAGAGCCAGTCCTCGACGTCGACGCTCCAGTTGACAATGTGGGCGTCCTTGCCGACGGCCTTTGTGAGGCGCGAGCGCATGCGGGCACCCTCGTTACCAAAGGGGGGACGGAAGTACTTGGATTGGAAGCCGTTGAATTGCGACTTCATGGCCTTGACGTCTTCGTTGTACTCCCAGTCGATGGAGGCGTAGTCTGGGAGACCCTCCATCTTGGGATGGGTGAAAGAGTGGAGGGCGAGCTGGTGGCCGGCGGCGCTCATCTCCTTGTAGACGTTGGTCAGGTTGGTGGAGGCGTCCAGGAGAGGAGCACCGACGGTGAAGAAGGTGACCTTGATGTTCTCCTCGCGGATGATCTTGAGGACCTCCTGGGCGAGGTCAGGCTGGCCATCGTCAATGGCAAAGGCAAAGGAGTTGGGGCGCTTGCAGGCGAAAACAAGGTTGCCGGTCTCATCCTTGCTGGGGATCTTGACAGTGGATGGGACGGATGACACAATCTCAATGAGGGAGAGAGTGACAGACTCCTTAGTGTGGAAACCCTTGAGAGCAAATCCGACAACACGGCTAAGGTTGATGTTGAAGTGGTTGATGGGAATGTAGATGTGACCGTTCTTAGCATAGCGCTTGGCCTCAGCAGAGTCCCAGGTCTCAGGGTAAGGGGCGACGGCGGTGTCACACTTGCTGTTGTGCTGCTGGAAGGCGACAGTGAAGTCGGTGGTACCAGAGTAAGCAATGTGAAGGTAAGAACCCTTGTACTTGGTGAAGTCGGAACATCCACTGGACACCTGAGTGTAGAAGGCATAGTCAGCATCAGGCGAGGTGATGGTGAGCTTGTTGCTTTCATATTTGAGAGTCATGCCCTCGTCACCACCGTGCCAGTTGCCCATCGCATTGCTGTTAGCATTGGCGAACCTGTCGATGACGAGGCCAGTAGCGGCAGCATTGCTGGGTGCAGGGACAGTGGCGGTAGAACCAGAGTCTGAAGGGGTAGGTGGAGGAATGTACTCTCCGGAGTTGCCACAGTAGAATGCCATGGGGCCAAACGAAGTGGTACCAGTGAAGCCAGAGAAAAGGACGGTGGTGAGCTTGGCGGTGTTGAGACCCGAGAACCTGCTGAAGGGAATGGTGTACAGCTTCTCGGAGCCGTCGAACTGCCAGCCGAGATCCTTGGAGGAGGCATAGAACGACTTGGCCTTGGTTGGGTCGCAGTCGTCTGAAGAGTCAAGCTGGATGTTGAGCGAAGCACCTGCAGGAGCAATGATACGGAGAGAAATGCCGTTGTATCCCTTGGCCTTGGCGTCAACACAACGGAACTGGCTGTAGAAGTAGGAGCCGTCCTTGGGAACAAACTCGACACGGTTCTTAGCTGGCTTTCCAACAGTGATAGAGGTCATGGTGCTATCGTCGGAAGTGGGGAATCCCATGGCGTTGTAGAACAGGAAAGTCAGACGGGATTGGGAAACCCAGTCATCAATCACCAAGGGGGCGCAGGTTCCAGTGGCAGTGGGGACGGGGACAGTCTGCATGGTAGTGCGGGTCGCGCTCGTCGAGGTGGGGTTGCCTCCAGTAGAGCTGCACCCGAAAGCAATCTTGCTGAGTTGCCATGTGGTGGAAGAGGAAGAAAAGGTAGACCAGACGAATCCAGTGATGGCATTGGCGTTGGCACCAGAGAACTGAGTCAGAGGGATGGTGATGGTCTGGGTGTTTCCAGTCAGACCAGTCAGAGTAACCCACTTGGACGAGTATGCAGCATCGGAGCAGCTGCCCTTGGTCTGGATCTCCAGGGTTGCAGAGCCCTGGGCGGGACCCTTGATCTGGAAGGTGATGGAGTTGTATCCATTGGAAGAAGCAGCCTGGCATGGGAGAGTCTCGTAGAAGTAGGAGGTGGCGTTGGGCTTGAAAGAGAGAACACCGTTGGAGGCGGAGATTGATGGCATGGAAGAATCATCTGCAAGAATGAGTATATGTATGGATTATTTTTGGGGCAAAAATTGAAGACGAACCGCTGGTCCAGGTGCCCAAGCTGTTCTGCTTGGAAGACCACTTTGAGAAGTCGTCAATCTGAAGGGGTCCGCTGCAGGCTGCGTTAACAGCGTGGGTAGCAAGTCCGGCCGCGAGGCCTATTAATGTGGTAAGATACATGATTGGTAAAGGTAAGCGAGTGTGTGGTGCAAAAGCGAATGTACAGAAGTCTAGGACTTCCAGGGACGGTGAGCCGCGATGCCCTTTGGGATTGAAGGGAAGGGCAATGAGAGCAGACGATAACTCGTGAAGATCACTTTCAGCGCGAGGCTCCTATACATATATCTTCGGCTCCGACACGGCGGTAGCAGAGATTGGACTAGCGAGCTGGGCATGCAAGCCCTTTCCTGGGCAGCCCTGGCGTAGCAGGAACGGCACGAGCTATTTCGGGTAGACTTTTTCTAGGCGGATGCAGATCATGCGTGGGACGGGCGTATGGGCGCTGGCGGTTTGCTGCGATGCGCAACTGGGGGCGTACGGATGTGGACGCCATGTACCTATGGCTTGCTGGGCGTTTGTGGGGCATAGCATCGATGTCACTCTTCCAGACATACATGCGCAGTCTACATGGGCATCTAGAGCGCCAGCATCCGAGTGGTAGTGTATACTTACACATGTACCTCTGTGACGGCGCCTCAACGGTACGACCTTGACTTGTTCAAAGCACATGGCGATGGTAATGCTCCATCATGGCGTTCTCGACTTTCCGACAGACTGCTGGCCGGCCCCGGATGCGATGGCCATGGCTGAAACCATCCACATCTGTTCTCTACTTTAGTCATTGCAGAGATACGAGAAGCCATACCTTGGCTTTGAACAGAGGCGAGCGGAAAGACTTGGCCATGACGTTCGGTTGGGATGTTGTGCTCTCTCGCACAATGGGGGGGCTGCTGGTGGCGAGACGCATGTTGGCATTCTAATTACCATTTTCTTTCTTTTTTTTCTCTTCGACCTGCTCCGGGAACAACAACACGTGAGATTTGGTATGTGCTATGTCAAAACGGCCTCGTCTCTGCGGAAGCAACGGTGCCTGTGCCCGGCAGGGTGGTGGGCGTTTGGTGCACCTGTCGGACCCGCAGACAATACGATGGTCGCCTGACAGACCAGCGCATTGCCGGTACCAGGCGGAGCGGGGATAGCGCATAAAGTATACATCGATATAGCGTTTTCCCCAAGTAGTGCAATCTGCCGACGATAATGGTGTGCTGCTGCGAGTCGTCCTCATCAACAGCACACTGCGCCCAACTCGCGCCTCTCCCGTCTTGCCACGGCGCCCGCCGAGCCAGCCGTCGGCTCTGTCGGCATGGTGTGCGCAACCAGCTGCTTGCCAATGTCGAAATCCATCTCTTGCCTCCTCTGCGCAACGGTCCAGTGTTGCCGACAAGCAATCCGTCGCTGACCGAGCAATCTTCTTCCGCTCCCCCTGCCAAGGCGAGGCAGCCAAATGGCGCATCCAGCCCGGCTCTGCATGTTTCGTCCTTCTCCGCCGCCGCCCAAAGGGGCTAGCGTATTGCCAAGAGCGGCTCCATCCCAATCTCTCAATAGCGGCTGTGCTGGAGGAAGGCCAGGATGCGACTCAAGGCTGGCCGACTAATGCTTGCTTCTCTCGATACGGCGACCCTTTCCAAGGCCATCTCCCATCCCCAATCCATGGTTCATCGCACGCTCCCACCGCCAACATCATCATACCGCAGAGGAAAAAGCAGCAGCAACGACAATTCCTCGAGCCCTGCAGTCGACACCTCACACAGGGCTCCAGTCCCAACCGTCCAGCATGAAAAAGCACATATTCCTCAACAGCAGTTTGGCTATGACGCTGTCCGCTACCCCCCAAAATTAGCTTCGACCACACCAGTCTTCTCTCCATGACGACAAGCGAGAATGGTGAGCCAAACATGATTGCCCAACACGGTCATAGATAGATGAATTTTTTACCATCCCCATCGCTACACCCAGTCCCTCCCCAGACACCGAACCGTGTTTCAAGTTCCATCGGCTATCGGCTCATGTCTTGGTAGTAAACGCAAATAGCAGCGGGACATGACTGACATGATTTGAACAAACCCCCCAGGACCACAAATTAACATTTGAACAATGACAAAGACAAGACATCTAGCATGTGCCAAATATATTGTCACAAAAGGCTGTCCAATCAAAATTAGAGTTTCTCAAAAAAACCCTCGATCGTGCGATATTCGCAAAGAAGAAGAAAAAAGCATGTCGGTTTTCCAGGCGACAAGACCTACAGGGTTTTGGTCGTAACGTAGATACCCTGAGTCCCTTTTATCCCTTTTATCCAGACTTTCTTGTTGAAAGCCATATCAGGGCAATCGGTAATGGCGATCAGATTGCCCCAATGTTCTCCCAGAAAACCCTTATCCAATGCGACAACTCACCAATGATCCCCTCGAGCTTTCTCCACCGCGCCTTGAACCCTCACTCTCACCCTTTTTACTTACTACCGCACCTCCTTCACCCCATCAACCCACACATCCACCGCCTCATTATAAAAACACAAATACCCCGCAATCGGTGCGCTCTCCATCGTCGGATACCGATAATACCACACCAGATTCCTGTATACCTTCCCATTAACATGCACGTGATAGTACTCTGCCTGCCCCTTATACGGACACAGCGTCTTCGTCTCACTCGGCTCCAGAAACTCCCAACTAACGCTTGTAGGAGGAACGTAGTACCGCGTTCTCAGCGTCGTTTCCAGCAGGAACAGCGCGCTGGTGGTTTCAGCCAGCGTCACACCGTCGAGTGCGACTCTGATGCTGCGGGCTGACGACAAAATATCAATGCGTTTGTAGGGGTCCTTGGGGTGGCAGTATATCCGCGTGTCTTCTTCGAACCATTGGTCTATAGCGGGGAAATCTACCTTGACGAGGTCTTTGAGGATGCCCGAGGAGAAGACGAGGATGCGGTGCGTGCTACGCGTGCCCACGGTTAGGGTGCCGAGGTAAGCGGCGTTGGAGGTGTTGTCGACTGCTGCTTCTCTCGATAGCTTTGCGTCGGAAGTGAAGCTTGAAATCGGGATGAAGTATCTTGGTTATGGTAAGCATCTGTAGTGCCCCGAACGGAAAAGGGCTTGTTGGTGTACTGTGGATAGCGCAAGTCAAGTTCCCACACGTGACGTGCCTGGGTAGTATCGAATGCGTATTTCCCGTTGAAAAGGCCGCGGATGCGTCGAAATGTTGGCTCAATTCTCTTTGGTCCATCGCGGATAAGCGTTTGAGCTAGCTTTACCAAACTATATTCGTTTAGTGACGACCAGTTGTAAGTGTGTGCAGCTTTGGTGAAGTTACTCAGCGGTTGAAGAAGGCATTGCTAGTACTTGGTTCTAGAGCAACGCGAGTTGTTATACAGAAACAAATTTCTTTTTTTCTTAAAGTAAACGAGAATGAGAACTACTGCTATTTATGTATACGGACTGGAAGTGGTGATGTCGCTCATGGAAGCGGGGAAGGTGCAGGGCCGGCAGGAATAGCCGAATGTGCTTACAAAACAACAACGGCTATATGGCGTGTATACCATCATCGACGTTGAACCTTTAGCCTGTTTCCCATGTATTCCGGGGGAAGGTGTCGTGGGATCTTAATATCGGGGTTAAACTTAATGTGATTTCTGCAATATCTGCAGAGGTTATTGCCAGTCCAAAGATGGATATGGAGTACTTCACATTCAGATGCCACGGGACCGATGTACCGCATTGGTATGCGTTCTCTCCCACAAGCCTCTACCAGTGTCTGAGATTGTTAACTTGGATGCACGTTCGGAATGATGTGCTCGTGCATGGTTCGGGTAGATTTCCACACGGTGATGCAGCGTGATTCCTGGTAATTTAAACCTTGTGTACCTCATAACCCACTTTTCAAAATGGCAAATCTGCAATTTTAATCTCGCGTAGAAGACGTCTAGAAATCCGATAGAACATTCTTAGGATTTCAAAGATGCGATGATTGAATGGTGTACATTTATGTTCGTGTTTATCTGAAGATTGATTTTTGTCGTTTGCTATTCTCGAGTTCAGACAGTTTCCTGATTCCCATTTGTCTTACCTATTTTGCTTGCATTATACTCTTTTCATTAGTTGGTAGAATTATGGATCTAGCGGGACTCTCTACAATTTTCATTCTTATTCTCCATAGCTTATCGAGATAGACATCTTTCGCTGTCGCCTCTTGCTCCATCAGTGTTGTGTATCTGACCGTAAGGCATGTCAGAAATCTCTAGTTATTCAGAATAGTATTCATTTCAGTACAGCAGTAGTGGATGCTTGTTGTCTACACTTTTGTTTGTAATGTAAAGGAAATTGTAATCATATATATGGAGGGGTAACGGAGTAGGTTTTCTTTAGGATACCATAATTCTTTTCCCACGATGCTAAAAATTCTGTAAGGTCAAGAGCTTGAGTGTTTTTTTTTCTAAAATTAAATTTACTCTTAGATGCTAAACACTAGTTTGTAATTAAGACCGATTCCCCTTAAGGTAATCACCCGTAGAGAGGGGTTTACCCAAGTTTTAGTGTTAAAGAAGCTTTCTCAATTTTTTCTTCTTCTCCAACTACGGCACCAATTTTAGAGGGCCAGAAAATCCTACATTTAGGCATTTTAGAAAGCATGGTCTGGGTGAAGTCAACCCGAATCATTTTACTTTGACTGCAGAATCTTTTTTTAATACCCGATTCCGTCAGGTTGAGGTGTTGCCTAATATTCGGTTCTAATATGATCAATACGATACGCTATGTAACAAACATATATAGAAAAGGTTTAGTCCTACCAAAAATACATGAACAAGTAATGTAGTATCAGCTAATACGACAGCTGTGAAGTAATCTATCAGTACAAAAGCGCTACGACTTGTGGGTAAAAGCTGATAATTTTCTGAAAATGACTATGCGGCCTTGCAGGAAACTTGAACGAATCTCCTTTTCTATATGCAAAAATACTCATGTGGAGCAAACACCCATTGATACAGTCGGTCTTTAATCATTTTCCAGTGACGAGTTTTATCTCCTTGAAGTTTTCTTGCATAGATTGGTACGAAAGTAATCAACGCAATACAATTCTCCCTCTTGTATGCCCATGTCTCATTCACTTCCTCGATGCATCCTTCAGTCATCGTTATGAAGTATTCTTACATCAGCAACGAACGGGTGTCTTGTCGGCCTGTTATCTTACCACAGGGGGTCATCTCTACAGAACAGGGCCCCCCACTAAGTCAACGTCACCCCCAGGCCACGTACATGTGTATGGGCCTGTAAAGAGATCCTCTCTACAAGGCCCCTGGGGTTGATGTTGAGCAGCGGGAGACGTGGGGAAAGTATTAGCGCCGGCGGCCTTACCGCTTGTGGACTAGCTACTCGCGTGTTGGGCCTGACAGACTCAGGGAGCCGGGCTGGACTGGCGCAGGACGACAACCGACGGGTGGACCAATGCGCCCTCAACGCTGCCTGCAACTACATACATCACTCCTACCACCACCACAGACCAAAGGGCCGTCCAATGTGCCACGGCGACGTCGCCCGCCCATCCAGCGCCCGCCCTACGTCATAATCCAGCCCCTCTGTCTTGTCCATTGACCGCCATCTCTTCCCCCCCGCGACGACGGTGCCTTGAGGGGGCCATAGCGATAACAGAATGCTGAGAACAGTGGCTGGCCGCCTGGCGCGACGGCCATGGAGATTTGTCTTTCCCGGCCTCCTATTCTTCTTCTTCTTCTACTCTCTCTCGCACCGCACAGGGTCGCGTACACAGGGGCCCGTACACAAGGCCAAGACCAAGTCGTTTTTTCCGCCTCTGGAGACAAAAGCCGCCAACTCGATTGAGCTCGACTACTGCAAGAATTTCCCAACCAAGCTGCTCGAAGAAGTGCAGGTCGTACTCAAGGTGGCCTCGGACGGCGCACACGAAACAAAAGCGCATCTCAACACGGTTTCGAGCTGCATCACCAACCTGATCATAGTCGGCGACAGGGACGAGCGACTAGGTGACCGACAGGTCATTGATATTCTAGCGGAGCTGCCCAAGAGCTACCAAAAGGACAACCTCGATTTTGAGGCCTATGTCGCGCAGAAAAAGGCACACGAAGGGGGCGAGACAGTCAAGGGACAACAGCGGTCGTTCAAGCTCGACCGTTTCAAGTACCTGCCCATGGTTGATAAGGCATACATCACCAACCCAACGGCCAAGTGGTTTGTCTTTGTCGAGTCAGACGTCTACTTTTTCTGGGACACGCTATTCAGACTATTGAGCCAGCTGGACCCCTCGGAGCCTCATTACATGGGCGAACCGCACAAAGGCTCTGAAGGCCGGCAATTCGCCTACGGCGGGGCGGGCATCGTCCTCTCACAGGGTCTGGTAAAGAAACTCATCCCTGCCAAAACGGTTGGATCGACAGAAATTCCGCGCGAAAATCGCCTGAGCGTCCGATATGAGAACTGGGTCAAGGAAGAGCAGCGCGGTGACGCTGTACTAGCCTACGCCATCCAGAACGCGACAGGACACAAGATAGCGCCTATGCACCCCACATTTGCAAGCGACAAGGTCAAAGATGTCGTCACTACAAAGGAGAGGTGGTGTGTCCCCATGCTTTCGCTGCACCAGGTCAAGCCGCAGCAGATGGAGGATCTTTGGAAGTGGGAGCGGACCCGACCATACAACACTGTGAGTCTTGTATCCCATGCGCGCTGGTGCACTTTGCTAATATGATGGCCACAGAAACCGTTTACCTACTCATCATTTCTCTCGTACACACACGCGTTCCTCTCCCAAGGTCCCAGCCGCGAATGGTGGGATAATCTCTCGACCGCACCCGTCCCTAACGACCGCCCTGCGCACCACAACGCCGGTTCTTGTGGTTCTGAATGCGCCAATGACAACAATTGTTTACAATGGTCATATTCACAGACGGTCTGCCGCCATGCCGACTACATCAAGCTTGGTGACGCGGTAGATCGAGAGAATGGCGGACAGGGTGAATTCGTCAGCGGTTGGGATACTGCAAAGCTGCGCGCAATGGGATTTGGAGTCGAGGGAGAAAATGGACAGCGAGAGTTCTACGCAGGCTGTGAGGAGGCTACCTGGCTTACTCCAAAGGCAGGTTAGACTGGACGAGGGGGTGTACCGGGGACATAGAGTACATAATGTTCAGGCCGTGTATAGGGAGGCGTTTGCGGTTGCTTGTCAGCACGTTCATGCATGGCGTTTTAGGTTGGTACATGATTTGGGTATGCGAAGCACGGTAAGCAGCGCGTTGGCGGAACACAATACCGCATATGACTGGGACAAAGACGGCAACCAGGACATGTTGTTGTGAAGGTCGAGATTGGAGACGCGTGGATGGGCGTGTATTGAACACGGCTTGACCACCTGCTCCCCTTGGCGCAATCTAGGATCCGCTCTTGTCCGGATCACATCAGATAGTACAAGACAAATGTAGTTCGACTATAAGCTGGTATACGCCAGGTATTACAGCTGCCGCCCACGCTTTGGGACCCTAGTAGAGCTTTGTGACTATGAAGCCGCAACTGCGAAAGGTTAGCGGCGCACGACTTGGAGCTCGGAGCGCGGGCCTCTCTCCCTTTTGGAGCAGCGGGACGTGTGGAAACTTTTGCATCCGGAAGCTATATGTCGGCTTCCCTGCTGTATTCACGAGTGACATCGTCAACAATCGCACCCAACGCATATCCCGCTCGTCGGACGGCTTGTCACCTTGACTGAACGAAGCGCCCGGTCGTGTTCGCGGCCCTTGCTCGCTCTTGGCGACGCTGGCGTGTTTTACGGTGCTATTCGGGAGTTCCCTTGACAATTTTGCCCGGCAGAGCAGGCCCACTCTATGATACTCCGACCAAGGTGATGAGGAATCCAGTGTATCAAAGGCAAGAACAGCACCCATGCTGTTACATTCACTACACACACACGGCTAAGCTCATGCGTAGGAGGAACAAGCAAAGCGCAGGAATTGCCCTCTCCACACACACCATGGTCACCTGCGCGGAGCAGTGCTTCATCTCCACTTGTATACTACGTATACACGCTTGTCGATATTAAATCGGCTTCTCGAAAGCCTTGGCCCCAAGCAGCGGGTGGCCGGACCGCTTGTCAGTGCACTAAAAACTATACACTAAATGGTGTGGACTTTACCCCACAGCCCAGCGACAAGCCGTGGTAAGGCGAGGACGCACCCTTCCCATATTAATGCGGCCCTACTCTGACGTCGCCGGACCTACTGTGGAACGCGCAAGGTGCCTGGTTCCCCTGTTTTCATAGGCTAGCGATCCCGTTGAGTCGACTACCTGCAGATGAAAGGTACAATGAAACCCTC